TTATTGTATATACTAATTAGGAAAAGTTCACAAAAAATAGGTAGTTTTGGGGAGGGATCAATGAAATTTCAAAAAATATTTTATATTCAACCACATTTGAGATTTCAATATATTATATTATAGAGTCTAATTAGGAAAAGTTCATAAAAAACTAAATTAAACAATATTAAAATTAAAAGTTTTTATAATATTTATCATTCGTGACAATAAAATTTTTCATGGGTCACACATATCTGCAAAAAATCAACTATTTTGCAAACCACAATAATTATAGAAAATTAATTAGAGATGTAAAAACAAGATGGAACAGCACATATTTGATGCTTGAATCATTTCTTGTAAATAAACCAATAATTACATCTTTAATAGCAGTAAATAACAATATTTTCAAACGAAAACAAATGGAAAGAAATTCAAGAATTTTGTGATTTTTTAAAACCATTTTTTGAATTCACTGAAGTAATGTCTGGAAGTACATATCCAACATTAGGAACATTGATTCTTTTATTAGATCATTTTTAAATGAAATTTATAATTTTAGAAATACACCAAATTGGATTAAAGATATTGCTGAAGCAATGATTACAAAATTTAATTCTATATCAGAAAATCTTTATAATCCAACAGCTTATTTGGCTTTAATATTACAAAATGCAAATCCTTCCAAATTCTGCAAATATTGAAACATTAAAAGAATTAGTTAGTAACATATTCGATTTATATAAAGATAGAGAACAATCTTTCTCATTGTCAGCTGACATTGAAATTATTGCACAAGATACAAATAAAAGAAAACCAGCAGGAATAATTGAACAAATGCTAACAAAAAAATTAAAAAATAATAATTTGTCATCAGTTAATGAAATTGAAGAATTCTTAACAATTAATGTTGAACCAACCAATATAAATCCTTGTGAATGGTAAAAACATCATCGATTACAATACCCAATTTTATCAAAGGTAGCAAGGGATTATTTATGTATACCTGCTACATCTGTTCCAAGTGAACAAGCCTTTTCAAAGTCAGGAGAGTTAATTAGTAAAAAAAGAAATAGACTAGGAGATCGTGCAGTAGAAGCTTGTATGTGTTTAAATTCTTGGATAAAATTATAATTATAAATATAATAATTTTAATAGCATCTAAATTTTAATAAGTTTTATAAATAAAGTAAAAAATTGATAAATATTTTATTGTCATTGATTTTGATCCCATCAACCCCATCAACTTTGGTTTGGTTTGACCCAATCGACCCCATTGGTTCCATCAGTAGGGATGGGAACAGTTTGGTTCGGTTTATAAACCACCAGTTTGGCTAGTGAACCACACTGACTGGCAGTTTACCACCACGGTTTGAACCACGGTTCAAACCCAAGTTTAACCACAGTTTTATAATTTTATTGGTAGGGATGGGAATGGTTCATTTCGGTTCAGTTTGGTTTATAAACTGCCAGTTTGACTAGTGAACTGCACTGATTGACAGTTTACTGATCACAGTTTGAACCACAGTTCAAACCCAAGTTTAACCACAGTTTTAATTTATTGGTCAAGTTAAATTTAAGGATAGGGGCCAGTGTAACCTACTTACTATGATCGGCATGGGTCATACTTTGTTCATATGACTCACATATGGTGCAAGTCACTTAGTCACTGAACTTTTTGTGCTACAACGACAATTTTGAGAAAAAAATTTACAATCAAAAATGCAATAAAATTTTTACGATCACGTGTTTTAAAAGATCGTCAAATAAGATTTTTTTATCCAAATATATTAATTATTCCATTATATTAAAAATACTTGAAACATGTATAAAGAAAATAGTAAATGGATTTATCCAATTACTTCTTTTCATCAGCATCATTTATCTTCATTTTTTTCATT